GAATTTCAGTTTCAGTTCAGATCAGATGAAAGTGTCCAAATACTTCAGAGACTTCAGTGCACCAAAAGCAACGCCTCAGAAGAGAAGAGCGGTTTGTTTGGCCTGCAGGGGAACTATGAACGTTTCACTACTTTAATAACAAAGTTCCTGTTAGATTTGGCAGTTTTTGTCCTGTGAAACTTTTTATCATGTAAACATTTAATAAATGAAGTGCTGGTTTTATTCTAACTTACTTGGTTACGTCTCCATTACTGCATTTTCTTTCTGATGATCTTTAATTAATTATACTTCAGCCACAGATGATAATTAGGAGTTAAAGTAAATCATCGTCGCAGCAGCGTGAGCAACTTTACCTGATAAAACCTTATTTGTGAAAGATGAACTATATTCTATATTTTCTTAAGCATCATCTTTGGTGACTGCACCCCCACGCACCCCTGCAACATCATCATCAACTTTGCAGACGACACCACTCTGATGTGCTTCATCACCAACGATGATGACACCGCCTGCAGGGATGAGGCCCAGCGACTGGCAGAATGGTGTAACTACAATAACCTCACGCTAAACACCAAGAAAACAAAGGAAGTGGTCATGGACTTCTGCAAAACAAGAACTGATCCCCTCCCCTCTCCATAGATGGTGACTATGTGGAGAGGGTGTCCTCCTTTAAGTTCCTCGGCACCCACATATCTGAGGACCTATGCTGGTCCACAAACACATCAGCCCTAGTAAAGAACGCCTTCATTTCTTGAGGCTTCTGAGATGGAACAGGCTGCAGACTAGTGTCCTTCTACCGTGCCACTATCGAGAGCGTGCTGGTGCACGCCATCCCTGTGTGGTACGCTGGTTGCACAACAGCTGACAGGAAAAGACTACAGAGGGTCATCAGATCTGCAGAGGAGGTGATCAGCTGTCCACTCTCCTCCCTGGACTTGCCAGTTCAAGATGTCTCTCCAGAGCCAGAGCAGTTATAAAGGACCACCTCCACCCTAACCACCACCCGACAACATCCTGCCCTCTGGAAAAAGGTTCAGATCCATCAGGTGCAAAACCAACAGACTAAAGAACAGCTTCTTCCTGTGAGCTGTCAGAACTCTTAATGCAAGCTAAGAGTGTAAAGACGTCTCCAACACATCCACTCTGACGCTGCTGTTGATCATCTATGTGCAATATCTCAGTCTCTCCATGTTCTGTGCAATATTTCTTTGGTGCATGTGTAATATTTAGGTCTCAGTGGAATCA